TGCAGTCTTACTTGTCTAAGGGGCTGCGGATTTCTTTAATGGAAACATCATCCTTCACAGTTTCGGGAGAACACATGGGAATCTCTGATCTAACATGCCAAATGTCACATTTTGTGACACTTTTAAACCTTGAAAGCCATTGTAGTTTTGGAAATCCATATGAACCAAGGCTGGTGGGCTTTGTTTAGTGGTGGTTCTTCTTCTGTAAAGGCTTTTGGTACTGAAATGCTGTCAGTAATCACAACCCCTCTGGAAAAATAGCATCAGAGTTTACACTCATATATTGAGGCTTAAATAATTACATGAAGTATTATATATTGACTTAAAAAATGGAGTAGCTGTCTTGATTTTTACTTCAGAAAATATTTGAAAATCTCTGATGGTAATAATTGCAGCTTCTTTGAAAAATAAAATCCCGTCATTTGTTGTAGCTAGGTTTTTACTGAGAACTATGAATTGAGCCTTGGACTCCAAAATGTTCTAGGACACTGCAGTAGTCAGTTTTGCTGTCTGCAGGCCTACCATATGAAAGACTGTCTCTGCTACAAGGTTTAGATTTGGGTGCTTTCCAGTAATTCTTCACTGACGTCAATTATCTTAGTGCCCTGAAGAAACAATCATGCATCAGGAAGCCATCTTGATAGACAAAGTCACACAGCAGAGAGACAAACCAACTTAAACTGGAGAAACAGGAGACAACAGATGGATACAGTCAGACAGCAAAATTCAGGAAACAGTGAGATGGTACCGAGCCAGAATATCACTAAGCTACAGTGAGCACATCAGTAGTCTGTTTTTTCAGCTATCAGAGGAAAGAGGAGTCTTAAGAAGGAATTTGAAGAGAGATAATGAAATAGCTCTTCAGATGTTTACAGAGAGTCCGTCCCAGGCATGAAGGGAAATGTGGGTGGAACATGGAGGCACTTTTTTGAATATTTGTCATGTGGGGGTGGAGGCTGGTATTGTGGGTTATCAGAGAGGGGGGGATTGCATCTCTCTAGTGCATCAGAGTTACAGCAGCAGAAGAACATAAGGAAACTGCTTCAGCCATTGCTCAGTTCCTTGGAGTTCTCCGGCTGTATCCATCAGTACTTAGCTGTTGTTTTGGTAGGACAAGTAAAAGAGAAGAACAAGCATGGTAGGAGGGTTGTTTAACTATTGAAGTCAATGATGTAGGAGTTTTATAAGGAACTGGGAGGGATTCAGCTCCATTAGCTGTATTGACTATGTCTTGTGACTGTATCAAGAACTTAGTATGCTCACACAAAGATACCTACATTTGGGTCTTAGTAAGAACTGAATACCAAGGATATAAAATCTCATGCTACTGGGTGAAATCCTTACTCTTTTGACAATGGTAAGAGCTTTTCCACAAGTTTCAACCAGACTAGGACTTCACTTTTTGTCCTCTATACAGTACTTTGTATCCAAGCATTTTGTTCAGCTTGCAAACGATGATACTTCTTTAATTAAAATTTCCTACAATTTCTTGAAATAACTCCCCTATCCATCTGTTATTCCACTAATATCCCAGATAATATCTTACTGTAAGTCCCAGAGAACCTGGAAAAAAATGGTGTTATCATCATTTACTAGTGGGTAGTGAAGTACAATGTAAGCATTAAACTTTTCTAAGGGCACCTACACCCTGAAGTAAAGCACAGCACGGAGATCCAAGTCCAAGAGGGGTAAGTAGGTATCTCCACACATCACTGGGCAATTCCTTATGGACGATAATAACTTGGGTCTCAAAACCAGTACAGCTGCCTTTGTCTCTGAGACAATGTCGCCCAATTTAGGGACAGCCCCATGTTAATGCAGTTGCATTGCCCAGCACTGGAACGAGCTGGTTTAGTGCTTGCTGGGCCGTTTTGGTACCACTGTACTACAGAAATGTGCTTTAAATAGAAAATATTTTGACCATCTATCTGTAAGATGCTTTTTAATAATGTGCTCTGCTATTTTTTTGTGATGTATTCTGTTTTGAAGAGCTTTTTTTTCTGTTTCTGAGCTAAGAAGTTGTACCAGAATAAGTGAGAGCACTCCTAAGTCTGGAAATGAATACATGTGGAAAGAACAACTCGTTATTTGAATAAGTTTGCCTGAAGGGTCAATTTCTTAACTTTTAGTAAAATTCCATTCCTTGCCTTCATGTTAATTAAATTAAAGCTGGGGGCATAGGAGAGCATAGCATAGTAGTGTGATATATCTGGGGCACAACTCAGGAAACAAAGTCATCTTACCCCCCTTGGCTTGACTTGTCTTTTTATTGAGTGCTGTGAGATTTCATTTGCAATAATGAACTACTTGTATGCAAAACTTTTCAGTCCTACCAAATGAAAAGAGGAACATGTTGACAAGAAACAAAAATGCATAATCTCTGCAGAAGTCTATGACTGAATCACTACTCTGTTCAACCCTGTGCCTTTTGATATGGCATCAGAAGGTTTCTTGCTTTCACTGACTTGAATAAAAGAAGGTTCAATTCCTAAATGACCACTGCCATTAAGGCATCAGGGCCACATTTATCTTAGTTTTAATTATCCCCATATTAAAATGGTGCACGTTTATGACATCCAACAAAATCTTTCAGGGAGATAATGTTATCCTTGGAATCAGTCTTTTCAAGCAGTCTTGTGGAGTGGGTTAACTCAGTAGCAATATTTCTCCACCTTTTTCCCCATTTCTCTTTCTCACACTTGGAAGCAGTGACTTCTGGCTGTTCTGTGCTGGACCACATGCAGACACAGCAGGAGGTTCTTGGCTTTCTGATTGCATTTGCTATCCAAGCAACTGCTCCTCACTCCCTCAGAGGAAGACACAGTGGGCAAATAGAAATATTTTGCAGGCCAGATGGGGCTAATGGACCACAAACTGGAGCAATCTGACCAAAATACATATATAATTACAGGTTATTTCTTAAATTTCTGGCATGCACTGTGCTTGACTAGTTTCTTGTGACCGGATCTAGTTTTTGCATGTTTCAGCTCCTGATCATGGCAGTGATATTCAGTGGCACTCAGACTTCCCAGGAATTGCTTAATCCCTTCTGAGATCAGACATACATACTTCAGGTAGTCCTCAAATAGTGCAGTTATGCCAAGTGGCACCCCTACAGTGTATGACTATTGTCACATCCACCGTGGTAATTTCTCGAAAAATATGTTTTGCTAGTTCGTTTTTATATTTTTTGCTTGTGTTTTTCACTCAAAATGTTGGCTTTCTGTATCCAAGGAAAAGTTAGTGCTGCGTGTCCAAAATGTAAGGAATTTCCCTCAGGCCTGTGTTTTTGCCCTTCATACCTTTAGGAGCAATTCTCTAGATTTCACCAGCTAGGCACGGTCTGCTTAGGATAACATGTATAAGAGGTACGCCAGGAATGACATGGGACCTCGGTTGCCTGTCTTTGGTATCCAGTTGTTTTGATTTTTTTCTTTTTGACATACTCTGGTATCCCAAAATTTGATCTCGGTTAAATCTGTTACATATACATCTGAGACCCATAACATTTGTGGACTTCTTTCAGAATGTCCTGTGGACCAGATTTATTTCACTGTAATGACCTGCTTCTGAACATTTCCTCTGTTGCTTATTTAACTAATAGATGCTCCTTCACCTGCTCAGTCAAATGACAGTGCAACATTTAGATCTCTTAAAGCAGCTGCTGCTGCACTCTGCACCAGCAGTGGTATCATTCATTAGTGGAAAATAAACCCTTGTTAAGCAAATGTGGTATAAAGCATTATGTAACAGGAAACATTTAATGAGCAGATACTTAAAGTTCTGTTTATATTGTATACACATGGCCAATTAAGTTTGTCTTGGCCCAATTTTGCAAAAGAATTTATCTGTATTAAGTAAGGCGTGGATTTGTTTTTCCAATATTCCCATCATGCTGGAACTAACATACCTGACTGTGAAAACCTTTGAGATTCTCCAAGAGAAGGTTTGTAGAATTCTGTAGAGAATAAAGACAGAAATGAGAATAAGCATATTTATGTTGCAGATTGCCTAGTTATAAAGTTTTTTCACTTATAAAAATTTACTGTCAGCATTTCCAATGCCTTCTGATAATGTCTGTGGCTGTGCCAGTGTCTTCTCCCTTTCTCTTCAGGCAGGACACCAAGAAGGGAGTTTATAAGACAGGGCATAGTTAAGGATCGCCCTCCAGATCCCTCAGAAAGTAGGTACTTATCTGTGTTCAGTTAAGACATTGTTGAAGAAGGAGCCTAACATATTAGGCATTCAGATGTCAGCAATAGCAGAGATCTGGAAAAAATTTCCTAAAAGGGATCATATTGGCCGAAGACACCCAAACAAGATGTTGTTTTGACTGGTAAGATGATGCCAAGGATCAAACCACAAAATTAAAAGAAACAAGATCAGACCGAGAACTTAAAATTATGGCTAAAATCCAGCCCGCAAAAGGAAATAATCAGATGAGGGTTGGAAGACTTTGTCTGGGAAAAGAGAAGTCTCTTCTGCCTTTATTTCTCTGTCTGATGTTATAAAGGAGAAGCTTATGCCCTTTCATTATGTAGAGTATGCACAGTCTCCTAAATAATCTTTGAAAACAAGTGAACAAAATGGTTATAATAATGAGAAGCATGAGTCAAAGAGGAACAATTTGGCAATTTTTCTCCTTCTTCAGAAAACCTGAATAAGATGAACCTCACAGGCAGGCCTAGCCAAATTCTTTTCAATCCTGCGTAGACCCACCAAGTTGTTGTTGTTGTTTCTAGTGCAGCACTTTCTTTGCCATCTAATGCCAGGCACAAAAGGCAGCCATAACTTAGTCACCTCCACTTGTTTGATTAAAAAATAGCTTGTCTAATGATGGAATGGGCCAAGAGATTTTTTATAGCAGTTTTTCATACCACCTGTACATTCATTTCTGTCTACATAAAGTTTTCCAGGGTTTTAATTCCAGCTCACTTTTCTTTTCCTCTCTCTGATTTTAGCAGCTTTCTCTAAAAGTGTCCTTTTTGCTCTTTATGCAGACTGTATGTGGATGGACCTTTTGGAAGTCCCTTTGAGGAAGCCCTGAACTACGAGGTCAGTCTCTGCGTGGCTGGAGGTATTGGAGTTACACCATTCGCATCAGTACTCAACACACTGCTGTAAGTGAGCTGGCCTTTCAAAGCCATTTCCCCCCAATTTACAGTAGCAGTGCATGTCAGAAAAACTTTGAGAGTCTTAAAAAATTTCCACTGGTATAAGCAAATGATTCCTTGGAGAGATCTAGAGGACTGTGATATCCCTGAAGGGCATAAATTATCTCATACTGGCTGTGTAACCCAAAGAGTCGTGGCAGAGTTTTGCCAGTAATGCACCTCGACTGGGACAGTGTCACTAGCCTTTCCACCAGCCTAGCTTGTGATTAATGTAGTCACAGTCCTTCACCTAGGCTTGTTCCCCTAGTCCCATCTCAGATGAGGCTGCAGACTATAATTGTGAGTTTTTGAGAGTCAGGCAGTTGTGACAGTCTTTCTACTGGAAATGCAGGGCCAGCTCTCCTGATTTGACTTTTGTCAATATGTAAGTTTAAGGTTTTAAAAGAAAGGAATCAACCTGAATTCAGATAGTATTCCGATGTTTAACTCCATTTGAAAAGTTTAAATTTTAGGTATACTGTTTTCTTATTTTTTCTTCTTGTTTTTCTCTCTCTCCTTTTAAAAAATTTATTTTAATTTAAAGCCTTTGACATTCTATGCAGATCAAACCTTTTACCTCTTGTTCTTCTGTTGCATTGACAACATGGTTCACACCAAATCTTATGCTGTGTGAAATAGGTTTGCTTTTGTGTTTGCTATTGATTTCTTTTTATTTGTTAGAGTATTGGCTAAGAGCTCCAGTCACAGGTTAAGCATCCCTGTTTCAAAGGCCCGGTATAAACAGCCAACCAAAGCAGCAAACCTTCCCTGAGGTGCTGAGAGGCTAGCTGGCTTTGCAAGGGCTTTAAAATGCACAACTAAAGCATTTGTTCCAAGATGAACATGCCAGTGATCAGCTCTAACTCCAAAGTGAAGCTGAAGTAAATTTAGATGCTGCGAACCTTCTTATGTCCTTAATCTGGGCTGGACCTGACAGTGCTAAGTGCTACTGCAAGTTATTAGCCTCACCTGTCTCATAGTGCAAAAGACCTCAAAGGGTCTTGTGCTTCCTCATTTTCTTTTCTTTAGAGTGTCTGAATCATCCTCTCAAAACTAGGGTACATTTTTGCTGAAAGCCTAGAGTTCAGGCAAATAAAATTACTGTTTTCCTCGTGATAGATTATCCTTGACAGTGTTTAGCAAAAATGTCACAGATCACAATGATAAGCCATCAACAGGTAATGAGATGTTTGCCTCTACCAGTTATCAGAGGATGTAGGAACTTGCACAGACATTGCCAGAGAATTGTAGTGTCCAAAGGATTTGGCAATGTCCATTTATCTGCATAAAACCATAAATTGACTTCTAAGGAACCAATTCCATAACCTACCCTTGTAGCCACTCTTCCCATTGTGCACCATACAATATAGAGGGGAATCATTTTGGGAAAAAGTAACAATCTTAGTCTACTTCCCTCCTCCAACAAAGCACTGTTTCAGTGGATGGCCTGCCTGTGTCTTTGCCCTGACTTGGAAGCAGAAATTGGTATGAACATGCAAACTGCCTTACAATGCCAGCGCTGCAAAACAGCGAGGCCAGTCCTATTGTGTCAAGGACATGCGTGTCTGAGGAAGATCAGAAGCCTGTTGAGGTGGTCTTTTGTTTCCTGCTCCATTATGTTCCTGTTGTATGTACATAATTTGATTCCTGTCCCTGCCCTTCCCTCCACTTAGCTGTTGAACCCTATGCCCTATTTTAAGAAAATACAACGTACTTTAAGGAAAGCTAGTGGCTTTCATGCAGTAGGGTCTGTAAATAATGGCTTTTATTTTGAGCGGAAGTAACACAGAAACATGCAAGAAGTATTATGTACATGTGGATTGGGTTGTAATGGGAGATTGCACCTTTACTGCATAATATATCCTGCTGGAGGTAGACCAGGCATATGTGTCTGAGATGCTATTTTAAATCTATGCTTGACTTGTTTCATGAAGTCTTGCAGTCCAGCCTCTTTGTCCAGCTGCAATGTTTCATCACCATGAGTGGTGTTTTGTTACTGAACTGCAGCATCTCAATACAAAATGCCTTGCATTTTTTTTCTTCTTTTGTCCTTTTTTATGGTGAAAGGCACTTATTTTGCTTGCTATTGCTTATAGTTCTCATCACATCTGACCAGATTATGACCCTTCCTAAGGGCTTGTCTTAGTCTAGGCTGTCAGAAAGAGATGGAGGAAATCTTGTTTGACAGGTCAGCAGTTTATAAATAAAAAAGTTGAAATCAGGACTTGAAAGACACTGTACTCCCAAGTCTTTTTTTTTTTTTTTTTTTTACTCTCTGTGGGAAGTTTACATGAAAGGTGAGTTCTCAGCCTCTCTACGCTGCTGAAGTGCCGCTGATGTCTCTATCCTTGCTCCTCAGGGCAGGGAGCAGTATGAGGAGGCAAGACAGTGATTGGAACCATCACTTAAATAGATCTATTAATACTCTTCTAATTATACATATTCCAACTTTAGAGTTTGGAATAATGCACAGTGGGTATGGTGAGGTGTATCATGAAAGTTTTTTGATTGGGTTTGGCTCCTAGGATTAGCATTTGAAGTGAACAGGCTATGGCCTTCTCTATCTGAAAATTATTTCAGAGGAAAAGGAGGAAACAATCTATTCACGACCATTTCAGTGATTAGAACAACAGAAAACAGTGTTGGCCAACTAAGAAAATACTTCCTGAATATGACGGCTCGCAAGGGGAGAAGAGTCAGCACACTTCAAGGGTCCAGGGTGAAATGACCTCTTTATTAAAATGGTGCTCACCTTATATAGGGTAGGGAGAGAACATTCTAGAAAAAGGGTGTAACTAGGGACGAGCAAGGGCAGAGCATGCAAATTAAGAGGAGGGCACAACCATATATGGAAAAACACTGCAATGCAGCAAAAAACAACCAGTGAGAGAACAGGGTTCAGGGCCATGAGGAATAAGGGAATTTACCAGAAACCTGGGGTACAATATAAGGGAAATTATACAATAAAATAGGAAACATAACATAAACCCCAAAACACATATTCTTCCATAGTCCACAAAAGTTCGTATCTGCTTAGATGATGCTTTCTTCTGCAGGGGGACTATTGAGTTTGATGCTTTCTTTCCAATTCTCATTTTTGTACTCCAACATGAATATTTGTGCTTTATTTGAACTCCTTAATCATCAGGTCATTTTTCATTTCTATTTTATTTACCAGCTCATTCAAATCCTTCCTTTGTGCTTATTTGTGGTTTAATTGAATTAGAAATCTGACACAAGAGTCCTGTTTTTGTAAATGCAATGCCAGAATCTGCCTGTGGCTGCACTTTACCCACCAGCATTTCCTAAGGTCTGTAATATATCACACAGTCCCCTAACACAATGAAGCCCTGATTTGATTTGGTCTATGTGATTTTGCTACTATTATTAGTTGTAATCAACCAGAGCCTTTCACATATAAGGGCAGAATTAAGTCTTGACATTATTGCATTTGTCAACACTTTCCACTTATGGGTTGCTTTATAAACCTAGTAATGAATTGACAAGATACACTTGAACTTAGAATGTCTCCTTTTCTTTAAAATAAAAGTTTGATGATGATGCATGAATCCATATTTGCTGCCCAAATCATCTGTATTGCTGACAACTTCTAGTTGTAGAAACAGTATCTATGATGGCTGTTAGCTCTGCATTAGAGATTTAATATTCTCAGAATCATTCAAATAGGCTGCATTGATCAATTCAGTGTCTAATGTATCATAGCTTGAAGAACAACTTAGCAGTTAGCCTTTAATGGAAATTCATGTTTCTGTTAATGAATATAAAGCATATTAATTAATGTTTCTTTTTAAATGATAATTTTTAATTACCCACACATTTTATTTTCAAGGGACGGCTGGAAATGCTACAAGCTCAGAAGACTCTACTTCATTTGGGTGTGCAGGGACATTGAATCTTTTCGCTGGTTTGCAGATCTGCTCTGTATGTTGCATAACAAGGTAATGGGTGTTTGGAGGGATACTGACAACTCAAATGCAAGGTATGTCCACACCACACAACTGGCACGCTATAGAGAATGGTAGCCTTGCTCAAAACAAATGAGCTCCAGTGGTAGTTCTGCTTGGGCTGCCTGACCCAGGCTCCATTTATTCTTGGAGCTGCATGAAACAGTTTGAGTATCTATGACCAATATTTTATTGCACACTGTTGCACTTATCTGTGTCCATCCTACTTTGCAAGATGGAAGAAGCACATGCAGACTGGGAAGTCTGAGTGACCTTTAGGCATTGGACAGCAGCCAGATCGAGAAGGGAGGGGGATTTGCAATTTCAGGTGGATTGTAAGAGCCGTGTAGCTTCCAAAACCAATATTTTGTACACAGCATGATGTGCAACATTCACAAAGGGGTGCTATGCAATCATATCTTCTCCATTAAAAAGCTTACTTCACTGATGCTGAAACCTATATCCCTCAGCACAGAAGGCACAAGTGACTTCACACTTAGATTAAGAGAAAGAATGTTATTTCACTAGCTGTTTTTATCATCCTTCCAGCTTTGGCAGGAGAATCGGCCAGACTATATTAATATCCAGCTGTACCTCAGTCAAACAGATGGAATACAGGTATGTGGCCAAGTGTTGTTTGTAAACTGAACTAGACCTTGGAGTAATAGGCAATGCAAACTGTCAGTCAAAGGTAGAAAGGGGGTTACTGCAGATGTTAAAAACAGGAGATGAGGCCATAAACTCAGATGACTGATTCATTACTAGAGAAAGAGAGCCAGTCCATCCTTACAGCATTAAGACAGTCTAGTTTGGTACCCTTAACTTGCTTAGGTGTGGGTAGAAATCCATATCTTCCTTTTCTAGGAAAGAGGTCCTGCCAGGCCACAGACCAGGCAATTGGAAATGTTTGATGGGAAATCTGCATTGTTTCTGGGCTAGGAATCAAAACAGAATAGTTCTAGGAACTTGCAAGCTCAATCTTCTCATATATATTTTGAGAGAAACTAGCTATTTTAAAAAGCTTTTTATTTCATTGCCTCAAATATAGACAGAAGGTAGAAGTTTCTTGATGCATGAGCCTGAAAATTATACTGAACTGTCAATTGTCATGTATTACCAAACCCCAGGCTGGGCTAATTCCCCAAATCTTGGCATCTCCTGTAACTATTTACGCTAGCAATCTTCATTTTACATTATTTAGCACATAAGCCTAGATACAAGTCTTTACCCTGCTATGTCAGGAAGCTTTCAAGTGACTGTAGTGGGCCCAGAACCAAGCCTAACAATTACTTTTTAAACAAGAAATGCAGTGACAAACCATACCCAAAGGATTTTGATCTGCTTAGTATCAGATGGAGATAGCATAACATTCACAGCTTTGGTAGGAACACTAGTCTAAATGATGTGATAGCTACAGTAGTTATGACTATGACAAATGTACTGTCTGGACAACATATGTCGATTGAAATGGGGTACTTGAAAATACCTAATTTATGAAGCTGGTATGTAATTGTTAGCTTAAAATTAAAAGCAGAAGCAGGACTTCAATGCAATGACACAGCAAAATTGAAATAACCGTCAATTCAAAGAAAGTGTTCTGATATTATGGATCAAGCAGCTGCTGAATTTATTTAAATCAGCTTTTTGGTTGAAGTCTTTCTTTAAAGACACTTTTTTATGGCTATTGAACAATGCTGACATAAATCATAACGCTGTTCATAATTTCTCAAGGGGGAATTAAACTCAACTCTCCATTGTCATATAGCTGATGTGTTCACTGCTGTTACTCCAAAGTGCTGACTGCTACCAAAAATAGGGCAGTTTCATTTCATACTCCCTTTGCAGAGAAGCCCTGTGCCTGTGTGGTAAGAGGGAGCCAAGCCCACCCTGCAACAAATGCCTCCTGTCTATAAAAGCCCAACAGAGGATGAGTTGGCCAAAGCTCTGCGTTTGCATTGGTATGAGCAATGTGTCAGGTTGTTCAGCAGAGAAGGGAATGTGGGAGCCTAGATAAGATGTAACCACTCTCTGCCTTTCTGCCCCATTAGGATAGCAAAGCAAGGAAGGGGCATGCCCTGCAATGGGAGGGCATTCCACCTTATCAAAATGCTGTGAGTTAGCATTGCTGAAATGGATTTGGTTCCATCTGGGGAGCAGTTTTAGTTGCTTTCTGCTCTCACAGCAGTTCAAAACAGCTGGCAAACTACTCTCAGGGAGAAAAGTAAGATTTCCCTTGTTACTTTTTCAGACCTAGTAATCTTAATAGTTACTTGTACAAAGTTAAAAAAAAAGGCTTACTTCAGACAGAAATATGATTTTTGCATCAGCAGTGTTTCTTCCAGCTTAGCATTAAAAGGCAGTGAGGGAATGAGTAATAGAAGCATGGTTATTGTTTTATGACTTAAATAAATTGGTTTAAAAGTAATGTGGAAATTAATGAGCAGCTGCAGAGGAACAATGTATAATGAACACCGAGGAGAGCCATTGCAAAGGTACTGAGCAGAGGTATCGGAGCATAAAATAGCTGCAGTTTTAATCACAACTGTTTGGTACTTGTGCTCAGGTTTTATATCTCAGCAGTATGGCAAGTCAGCCAATGTCAGAAATGGGAGCCCTGGGTGATACGAGGCAATTTGCAAATCAGGCACAGTGGAGTTTTTTTGTTTTTTGCAGAAAATAATTGGTGAAAAATATCAAGCTTTAAACTCCAGGCTTTTGATTGGACGACCCCAGTGGAAACTCCTGTTTGATGACATAGCAAAGTGTAACAGGCGGTAAGTAATAGTCTGCTTGAAGGATGCCCCAGTTTGATGGCTGGGGATATCTGTGTCTAGCTATGTTGGTATGAAAATATTTCTGGGTTTTATCATATAATGTAATGTTGAAATTCACTAATATTTTGCTGTGAGATGTAGCCTGTAGAAACAGAAACACTTTTTTTTTTTTTTACACACACAGAGCAGTCCAACTTTTTACACAGCTATGTTCAGTGGCCCAGGAAACAAAAGTAGCAGATTTTCATCTCACTGCACAGAGCTTCCCTATGTTCTTGTCCATGGCAATGTCTTGCTTTCAACATGCTGGTTTTATATATGAGGTTGCACTTTTTTAAATTGTTGACTTCTCCTATAATTTTCATGATTTGTAGTGCTAGTTTACAAAAAAAATTCACAAGGAAGACCTTGACTGACTTGTATTGTTTTTATTCGGAGGATATATTGTCTTTGAAGATTTCTGGCAGTTTTTTATTCTTTGTTAAGACCTGGCAATGCCTTTTTACTGTGCTAGGAAAACATATTATGGTCTGAAACAAGACGGTTGTAAACCAGAGAAGACATGCAGTTAGACTATGGAATGTCTTTGTCCAGATCCAGCTTTGTTGGTTGAGTATTTTACCCCCCACTGGTAGTTTTTTGCCTCAAAAGTTAATCTGGTAGAAGGGATTGTGTGAATCTTCCCTAATCTACTTTTGTCAATGTCAGTGGTGTGGAAGCAAACCACAGTAGCTGTTGGTAGTAATCTGGGTGCATCAGGTTGAGAAGTGCTTGCATGTTCATCTGCAAAATTTTCCCTCAAGAACTTCTTGCACTTGCACTTGCAAAGTGAAATCTGTCCATGGCTTACTCAGGCCAGATATGACTGAGGACACTGAGCCCTGGTTCTTGAGAAATACTGAGTACCAAATGTATCACGTTGGCAGTGTAAGCTGCTGACAATATTTTTCTTGGATTCAGATCATAGAGGATGTTGTGGACAGGGTCCCTTGTCAGGACGTTCCAAAGGCTGCTACAGAGGGACATCCATGGAAGAATTCTCACACTTGGAGAAGGGTTTTAGAGTAAAGAAATATGGGAAAGAAAGGGAAATATGTCATGGAAGAAAACTGACTCTCTGGGCTCAGAGACCTCTGCGTAGAAGACTGTTGATCTTTTATGCTCCATGCTAATGTCTTTTTTTTGTTTGTTTAACTGTGTGAGTGCAGTTTTAAAAGATGAAAGTGATGATTTCTGCCACTTCCTTGCAAGGCTGTAAGTGCACATAATATAGATTAAACTATTAGTAGTAGTCATACTTGCTTTTTCTTTTTTGCTTTCCATTGCATTACTCCTAATTAGATTTCAAGTACCATTTTCTCTGCGATTTCACATGAGACCTTTAAATTGTGCCACGATTTTCAAACAAGGTGTCTTTTAGTACCTAAATAACGTTCCGACTCCTTTGATTACCTGCAGCTTACTAAGATGTACTCTTCGTCACCGTTGGTCACCCTTTTATCAGGGTTTATACAGGTCTATATATCTGTAGACATAGTTACATGAAACATGATGCACGGTACTGAAACCTGTAACAACTTCAGCTGTCCCACAGAAATTTACCTCTTGTAGGTGATTATTCTCCATATTTCCTTGGATGAGACAGGAACTTCAGTTTTTCCCTATAGTCCAATTTCTAGGTCTACTATTAGCTTTATTTCAGTTCGTATTTCTCAGTAACTTTCCATGTAGGTGTCCCTGCTGCAATACAGAGATGAAAAAAAACCCCAAACAAAACAAAACAGGTCAATCAAGTCGTTTCCAACATCTGGTGCCAATGTTCAGGCTTTCACATTTGCAATCATCCCCTTGGGCTTGTTTATGTGCAGCTGAGATATTTTCCAGTTTTATTTGTGATTTTAGGAAAAGCTGCATATAAATAACAGGCAGCTGGCAAAGCTCTTACAGTGTAGCCGTTTGATTGCTGTGTGCTTTGTGCATTGTTGCTGTTGTTGCTGTTTGAGTCCCAAATAAGCAAAGTGCACTTGTAAGTGTCTGAGCTTTGCCAGACCTTCAGAGCGTGACATAGGGCAACCCAGCATCAGGTTCCTGTTCCTTTTTTCTGGAAAAGAGGAGCAGACGCATGCCATCTACTGTCGATATTTCATATGACATCTGCAGTCCCAGCAATGTGCATTGGGACTGTTAATATAACAAATTACTGGTCTTTTTTTCCCTGCTTTTTTGAGGGGGATGGAGCAGCAGTCTTGTTCCTGTTCGGTTGGGTTCTGTATGAAAAGCTTACACTGTGCTCAGTTTTGCGTAGGTCAAATGGGTGTGTCCTCCAGGTGGAGACTGACCTAGAAAAAGACATGAATATCTGTAGGAGAAAAAGGCATGGAGCGCCATGATACATTTCTCATGTGATGTAAAGGAGAAACATCTCTCTAGAAATGAACGTGGGATTTAAAACAGGATCTTTTTAAGTCCTGACCGTATCTTCTCAATGTAGCAAAGCATTTCATCTCTCCCTCACCTCCAGCTGTTCATAAAACGGATGTAAGAATATGTGCTGACCTATTCATCCCATAGGAACAGTGAAACTTTACTTGCTTAATGCTCTGAATGAGTAAAATCCTGTACTGATGTTTATAATTATTGCAAAGAATGGCCTAGAACATAGATTCCTTAATTGTAAACATGTTAGTGGTATTTATAAAGATTTTCAGACATAGCACTACACAGCTGCCTGTTTTCTTCTAGCAACAAAGTAAACCTTTGTCCCAGACAACTGATACACAATTAAAGTCCCTCAGCTCAGGGTAGTAAAGTGCTGCTCCATGTAGTAGCATCTCTCAGCCACCTGCCTGCTTGTGTCACAGCAACCTGGCAGGAGCCAAGCTGCTGGCAGAGAGGAAGGTATCTGCAAGCAGGGAAGTCTGTGATAGAGGTGAGGGAGAAAGTGGGGCCTGAACTGTGGGAGGTAAGTGGTATGTGGGGAGATGTCCAGAATAGATGCTGGTGTTGGGTATCCTGTGAAGGAAGTCTGAGAGCCTCTGGCTCAGTGCACGAGCAGTAGTTCACCAGGGTTTCGGAGACGTTATTAGCCACAGGTCTCTTTTGTGACTTTAGGCAAATCATTTAACCTTTCTGTGGTTCTGATTACTAGCCAAAAATTCTGTGTACCTTGGAAGGATGTTGCTGGGATGGGAATATATTAGCAGTATGTGCTGCTAAGACATGTCTTTACTTCAGTGGCAATTTATATGTAATGAAAGGGAGAGGGGCAGACAAACTCTTTGGGATTTATCAGTTGGTTGTACTAATTAGACTAATGAAAAAAAAACAAAACAAAAAACCAACAACAACATTAATTCTCTCAATTAAATACACAGTAGAAAACAGATTCTTGCTGGCAGCTCATGAATCCTTTTTCTCCAGTGCGCACAGATTAGAGGGAGTTCAGAGTCTACAGGTGCTGAGAAATCTTATTTGAGAGCAATGAGCAATAGTACTCTCATTATTGCTGAAAAGTCAGCCACCAGCACAACATCCCTTGCCATTAAAAGGAGTACTGCTAGGACAGGAAAGCTTAATAGGTATATATAAGGGTGAGAAAAGAATGGGTCATAAATATTTGCCATGGATTAATATGAGAGATGATGTAATTGAAGGCAATTAAAATCAACATTGTAAGGTGCTTGCACAAGGACGCCTCTACAGTTACCTACCTAACTTTGTGATGCTTTTTAATGTTTGAGTCCGCAGTTGTACAATGCCAGCGTTGCTGTGCAATGGTACAGTGTGCACTGCCATGCTATTCGAGCAGCAGGCATGTATACTTGACAGTATGCATCAAAGATTTCTTCTTGTATGTGTTAATTCCCTTCCCTCAGCAAACACATACACAGTGAGCTTTAAACTGTGTTTGATTATCCTGCATGTGCTAAAATATTTTATATTAAATAGTTATTGGATAAAATACTGAAGCAATCCTGGAGGCAGGGTCCAGAATTCAAGTCTCCAGCCTCTTGGTGAGTGCTGTAGGTCACTATAGTTAGAACCACATTCACTGTTGTATGTTTTTTCTTCATTTCACTAAATCTTTAAGATCTTTTTCTGTAGTGGCACAATTTCAGCAGGAAGATAATGATTTTTTTTTTTCATGATGTGGAAGAGGCAGCACTGCATTGTCTTTCCCTGCTCCTTCCTTTCCCTTCTCATCTTTCAAAAAAAGGGAGCTGATGAGTATTGTGAATGGCTCAGTCCTTCTGCAGTGGATGTGCCCTGTTCTGTTGCCGACTACAGTTCTGAGCCCTTAGATATTGTATGACTATCAATCTGATTTACAGGCCATCTTTAAGGTGACCAGAGAGCAAAGAGCTGCTGTCAGTAGAGTGGTGTGAAAAAGTCAAGTTAACTAATGAACCTGGACTGAGACCTATAGGTGAAGAACAAGGATCATACTCTGTGTTTGACTTTTCCTAAGATTTCCCAATATGGATGTTGAAGGAAAAACTGCATGCTAATGTGAAAGTAAAGCAGTAAAATTATTCTGCTGCTGCCAGAAACAATCATGGGTTAGTAGTGCTCTGTTTTCATGAGTGTAACGAATCACTGTTAGTGACTTGATCTCCTGATGGTGTAAATCACGAGTTACACTAATGAAGTCATTACAGTGAGACACATTTTTCACAAAAAGGTGATTAATTATGAAAATAAAAATAGAGTGGAAAATAATCATTTTTCTTGAAATTAAGATTAGGCACTTCTTCCTAAGAGTTGTCATAGTCAGATAAGTAATAGAGTTTATTGTGGGGATACTTGAGAGAGATATGGTGGCTTCAGTAATACTAACTGCATGACCTAATGAGCTGTTCTCACCGTAAAACCTATATGTAGTTGACTCATATGTATGAGTGAGGCCAGAATCTAATTCTGTCTATCATTAGATGTTACTGTTTATTCACAATGTCATAACTTTTTTCTTTTTTTTTTTTTTTGATAACAGGAAGACCATTGGAGTTTTCTGTTGTGGACCAAACAAAATCTCTAAGATACTTCATAAACTGAGCAACAGCAGCAACTCTTATGGGACAAGGTTTGAGTACAATAAAGAATCCTTCAGCTGAAAGTCTGTTGGACTAGCAAGACTCACCAGAAGATAAAAGTGCAATTTTTTCTTTTGTACAACTTAGAAGTTCATCTGTGGTTTAAACAGATAGAAATGTACCAAAGTGTAGCACAGATGTTTTTATTTATGATTATTTAAGACTGTGAATGCAGCAGTATACCAACAAATAATCAGTGCTTATACTCAAATGCGCTCACACAGTATTTGTGGCAGGAGTGATCTTTGGAGTTGTTTCTGTTAATTAAAAAATACAGAAGCTGGGGAGAGACATAATTGTTTTGAAAGCTGACGGGAGGAAGAATCTGTGGAATGTTTAAACTTCTTCCACTTAAAACTTCTTCCACTTCAGTCCTCTGAAGCTGGATCAGTAAACCAAATCCCAGGTTTATCCAAATGACAAAACATAGTGTATTACAAAGACTCTTGCTTTTGTTGGTATTAAAATCTCATGGCTTTGGGGTGAAAACACTCCATATTAAAGATTTTATTATATATTGCAGAACTGGGATTCTATATTTAAAATATAGAGTGTTACTCTCACTAGTCTACTTCTATAATGAAGTTAACCTAAGGAAATGTGAGCATAACTGTGTAGCACCAGTGGGCAGCCTTCACTGTGATGTCAGTCACAGCCTTTTGGCAAGCAGCAGCTATACATGCAGAACTCTCTATCTTGCATCAATTCAGCATTCAGTGGGTTTGCAGAGTAAGTATGATTTATGGAGCAAGAAAGTGATGAACACGAGCAGATAGGCACTCAAGTTTTTATTATAACACACAATGTGGAAGTTGCACTCACTCTGCATTCACATGCCCTGAATGTCAAATACCTCTCTTACTGATTATTTTACAAGGCAGCAGGTTGAAATGCAGTTTTAGAGGTCCCAGTATGTTTGGTTGACTATGATCTTTTGATTACTTTCCCTGGAACCACCTTTGTTTGCCCTGACGTCACTAAAAGCAGGATGAGATGAGATGAGATCTACAGCAGAGTAAGAATGAAGTCCTCAGCACTGTGGCTCCTTGAATGGTGTGTGCAGACAGAAACCTTGCAGGAGCTGCAGTATGCTTTCAGTACGCTCCAAAGGGGAAAATCTGAAACATCCAAATTTAAGCTCTCCTTCCCTTTTCCTTTCCACAGCTGTTTTCTGCTCATAATTGCCATGGAAGGGCTAAAGGTTGAAACAGGCATTTTATAGCCTTTTGGTTCTGAGGAGCATGGTTTTTTTTCCTCCATTCAATAGCCTATCCAACTTTATTTCTTCTTTTCTCCCTTTTCCTTATTTTGCCAAGAAGAGGGCATTTAAGCAGGAGTTAGACACTTAGCTGGTGTAAATAGTCACCGCTCTAGTGCCTCCTAATAGAACAGCATCACTAACATGCTGAAAACCTTGCCCTTAATCTCCAGCAGAAGTTTGGGAGCAGGACCATGTAGTGTTTCCAGCATACACAGGTGGCAGATGACTCAAGAAGTCTTGTGCCTGTGGTTCACCTGTATTTAGCACAGTGCATTTGATTTCATTTATTTCTTTCCATTGACAACCTTTTTTATTTTAGTGGAAAAGACATTAAAATTTCACTCACAATGCGCACACTGTTCAGGAGTTTGCAAGTATCAGTATTAATGTTCAGAGGGAAGCATTTTTCTAGTAGGTGGTGTATAGGCATGTTGTATGTGTAACTAGTGAGAATGAGTTGGGTCTTTACCTTGGCAGCTTCTGCGAAGGAGTTGCATTCAGTGAGCATCAGGGTGGAGTTTCATCAGTAAAGCCACATTGGAATGTGTTCCTCAGTGTCTGGACTTGCAACTGGAGTTTTTACCTCTGGCTCTGTCCAATTTGAAATTCACAGAGGAAGGAAAGAACAGAGATGGATGAATTCCTACTGATGAGAATTCTCGAAGTAGCCCAGATGAGAGAAGTCAAAATAGAAATGCAGTGTGAGATGGGAGCCTACATTACAGCTACTGATTTTAATTTTTTTCTTTTTGAGGCTGGGAGGACCATTATTTTTCTATTGGATCTCATTCACCCATTACTGTAAAACTAGAGGTATGCAGCAAAAGATTAGACACTTTTTAAACAGTAAGATTTGTTTCTAATACTACCTGCATGGTTGAAATCATGCCTACATCTATTAACCACAACCAGACAGTGATCTTTTCCTCTTGCTTCAGGATCTAGTATCTCATGCTTTTGAATTACAATTTAGAGTCTTTTAATCACAAAGTTGTTTGTGGTTTCACATCTCCTCTCTGATAGATATCAGTTCCATTACCATATAATGAGCAGCTAGTTTTGCAGTTAACTCTGTGCTAAAGCAGATTATATTTTCTGGCTCAGCTTCTTTATAGGTAACACTTTATAATTAAAATAGTAGTGCTAGTACTGTGCTCTTGTTCTGCATTGTAACAGGAGTCATGGCTGCGTGTAGGCATATTAAACACCTGTTGTTACATTAGGCTGTGCTGTCATAGCAAGATCTAAGCAGATCCAGGCTCTTCCCTTTCCGTCTTCATGTGGTGTCAGCCTCAGATGTTTGTTTGATCCACTTGTAAAACAAGCTCTGGACTGTCTGCCTTTCTAGAGTGTTGTGAGGCTTAATTAATGTTTTGGTATCACTTCAGTGCCCAAGCAGTAAAAAGATCTGTCTAATTGTTATGCAAATGTACTTGTGTTTTATTTTGGGTAAACCTTTCTATTAATCATATGAGTAATCTCTAGACAAGATGCGGCTGACTTTGGAGAAAGTCTAAAAGCCTCAACTGCTTTTTTTTCTTGAACTATAGCTCTGTTAGAGGGGCAAAAGGCTTCAGAGTTGTTAGTGGCTGTGACTTGGCTTCAGGAGTGGCAGATATTATGATACACAATCTTTCTACAGGCTGTGTTGTCATTGCTGTCTCCATCTTGCAAAACAAAGTCAGGCCCTCTTTTAAACTCTATTACTTTTTTATCTGTAAGCCAAATGTATGTGAAAATATAACTCAGTGCCAGACAAGTAAGTGAAGGCTGACAGCACTTAATTCCACATTTGCAGATCGACTGAATTTACGTAACTGAGCATCACTTTGCACTTTATACTGTGTCCTGTGAGTTCATCATAAGTGTCCTGCTGGCAAGGGAAGGATCCCACCATGAATTCTGCTACTTCTGACTTAGTCACAAAGCTGCAGGCCCATCAGTGTTTACTCAGCAGGATCATTGTGTTTTATCCATCAGAAATGTTTCAGGGCTGTTTTTTTAAAGCAAGAATGTTTCCATACCATGATGGAAACCAAGCCCTTTCCCTGCATTGGGAATCCAGCCCTCATGCAGCAGTGTGGGACTCAGGGCTTTACACAGCTAACAACTGGATTAATCAGATTTACCCAAGACATCCTATTCCCATAGCACTGATATTGCTTGTGTGAGTAAATGTCCACTGCCACAACAAAGGAGTGCAGAGATGAACCCTAATGTTGTGTGGGAAGGCCTGATGAGGACTGACTTTCACCTCTGAAGTCTGCAAGACAGCCTGTCCCTCCACAATGATTATTCCAGCCCTGTATTTGAAGCAACACTTCCCTATTTCAGTATGTGGTACTACTACTAGCATGTGAGTTCTTCCAGGGTCTTTTATCTGCTCTTCTAGAAGACAGGACTGAAAGCAGTATGAGAGATCACAACAAACAACTTTGAACCTGGGCTGGGAGAGGACACCACTGCATACCACAGACACCTAGCTGATGACTTCACTGCTTACGGTAGAAAATTTAAGCCAAATCCATTTTTCTGCAAAATGCTGATTGTTTTGCCACAGCAGACTAAAGAACAGTTGCTTTAAAGGGAAAACAGATAAATCCTCTCTCTGAAGACTCCTATCTGCACAAGCCTGATACGAAGATGTGTGTGAAAGCACTGTGCACATTGTTATTACAAGGGTATGTAATGATAGAATAAGGGGTAATGGCTTTAAACTGAAAGAGAGCAGGTTTAGATTTGATATTAAGAAGGAATTCTCTTCTGTGAGGGTGGTGAGACACTGGCATAGGTTTGCTCAGAAAAGTTGTCATTGCCCCATCCCTAGAAATGTTCAAGGCCAGACTGGATGGGGCTTTGAGTAACCTGAGGGGTCAACCTGCCCATGGTAGGCAGGTTGGAACTAGATGGTCTTGAAGATCTCTTCTAACCCAGTCCATTCTATGACTCTATGATTCTTTGATTCTATGATTCTATGATTTCAGTTTCCACTGCATCCTCATCATGGGCTTACACTCTCAGCTCTAAATCCCCATTGTTTTATTTGGTTGCATATATTCACCCACCTTGTTAGCAGATGTGTCTTGCAGGTAAGGGAAGTACTACGTATATTTGTATCCATGCACAGTCTGATCTAAGCATGGAGCAACCTGTGAGCACTTTTTACAACCAGTGCAAGCAAGTGCAGAAGCTGTCTATTTGCTCCTAATCCTGCTAGCACATAGGTGAGAAGGAGATTTGGAGTTGGCTGAGAAGGGGCAGATAATATGAGTAGCAGATGAGCCACATTGGAGACAGTAATTCAGCTGTAACAGCCTAACAGAGCAGAGAACTAATGGTTTGGTAAGACTTGTAGAACAGCAGCCTAAGAGAAAAACTTCTACTCAACATTGACACACCAGATTTTAGTTTCAAAGTGCAAGACGTGATTTAGGAGAAGCAGGCATGTGTCTAACTAGTCATTGCCTATAGCAGTTCAAGGCTCATAAGTCAGTTATTAAAATGCAATGTTTACCTTTTTTTTTTAAAAAAGGGCTTCTAGGGAGATTAATTTTCACTTCAGCCTGGCAATCGTTTCATAAACTTGCCAGTGTGATATAAGACAAGCTGGATCTATTCTTCTCTGGATTATACATCTGATTTGTCTGCAGATTTTCCACCTCACAGTTTAAACCAGTTTTTATTGTTTTAGCAAAGAGAATTTAACAACAAGGTTTAACATAAATGCCGCTGGTGCCTGTGCAAAACTGAGATTTTCTGCTATGAATGTACATTTTTCAGGGATATATATAATATAGCTGATGACTCAACTGTGAATGGTGATTTGGGATTTGCATCATCTCTGCTGCTGGTGTATTTCATTAAGGCCACTATGGTGATGCACTGGTGAGATGCATGGAGCTGAGATGAGACTCTTCATTCCCATAAGGAGTCTGATATTTTAGTGCCCATACTAAGCTTAGTAAATCCTAGAAACTCTGGAATTTCCTTTGTAGGTACAATAGATTAATTAGACAGCATCTTTTAAGGTTAAATCCTGAATCCTCTGCTGGACTGACATGTATAATAAATGCTCTTACACACCGGGTTTGAGCAAAAAATGCTTCTCCTTAAAGGGCTGGATGAGTATTTGTGAAGGTTTACTGTCCTGCTAGTTATATCACACATGTTGTAAGAAGGATGGGATCCATTTTGGAACCAAGAAATGCTGTGCACTTCCTCTGATGTACGAGTATCTCCAATCTTGCAGTAGATCTCAAGGTTTGCTGTGCCTGAAGTGTTATATTCTCTAGAAGGATCCTATTTGTAAGAAACAGATGCTGGATCTGTACTAAGGGCAGTGGATCTGTCCCATTATTTCATGGGCACAGAGAGAAAGCTGGAAAAAGCCACTCATCCCAATTGCAGATTGCTTCTTGACAGAGCGCTTGGATAAGAGGGAAGCCTGGTCCTGATGCTTCAGGTAAACTGCTGTCAACTAAAGAGCAAATCAAGGAGGGCAACAATGAACAAGATAAAATATTTTGAACCTGAGAGCCAAGGGGAAGGAGGAGACATTCTTCTTGGCTTCTCAATTTTAGAAATTAAAAGCAAACCCCATTTTCTAGATGTACATACAGTCTCTCCCTGGGGGTTGAGAGCTAATATATGCAAAAGCCTTGCATTTCCATGCACAACTCAGTGCTAAAGCCCAGAAGAAAACTAGTATACTTTAGCAAACAACTTGGAAATAAGCAATTTGTTTGAAACAAACCCTTTACTCTTTCAAGTTAACCCATTTAAAAAAAAAATCTACTTCTTTTCTGCAGCTTTGGAATTGGGAATAGCTTTACACGTTAACTCCTTTTCACCAAAATACTTGAGTGTAGAGTTCTCCGTGTCAGCTGTAAGTAATGTTGACAGTTCAATAAATAAATTTTGTGTTTGTTGCTGCTGACCCCAGGAAAGGGCAGCCTTGAGGATGAGAAACAGTGTTACATAAATGTCTAGCATACATAGCAACACTAAGCAGGGAGACGCTGCTGCATCGCTTTTGGTGCACCAGGCACACATTAAAATTCTGTCACTGCAAGGTCACGTTGCTCATCTCATACTCTGCAACCCTGAGGAAGAAATTTGGATGAGAGGTGGAGGAGGAAAAGCGAAAATTTCCTCCTGGTGCTGTAACCAAGAATATATTCATTGACAGCAGGGCATATATTTTGATTGCAAAAGAGCATGCCATTTATTTATTTTTTCAGGGATAACGGATTTCCTGCTGGTGCTGTGTCATGGTGTTCGCATGTTAGAAGTGTAACACAGTGATAATGGGTTGATTTTGAACTGAATAAATAACACCTCTGAGCTTTTTCTGCTCCCTTTAATAGTCTGAGAGAAATGCAAAATGCCAGAGAGCATATATAGTGGACTGTGTCCCGAGCTACACTCGGCGCAGCCTGGTTAGGGATGCTGCACAGAAGCTCTGCGAGCTACTGGGAAGAGGTGAGGTTTAAGGCAAAGAGGTGAACAACTGTTTTAAGGAGAACACAGTAATGATACATGATCTATAGTCAGAAGCAGGCCATGTCACATTGTCTGTCACATCTTTGAATGGTGCTGAGTCAGAGCCAGCCCTAGATATCCTTTGGCATCAGGGAAAATGAGGGGCTCTTGGATTGGATCTGCACTGTGAGAGGAAAGGCAGTTTAAACGCAACTAAGCAAGCCTCCCGTGTGCACTTTCCAGCTTGGAGCTCAGAGCTGTCATACCTGAGGGTAAATTGTGTAGACAATGAGCTGGTCTGACCTACGAGTACAGTCAGAGTTGTATGGTTAGCTGAGGGCATGGGCATACCCTCTGTATTTCTCCAGCTTTGTAGAAGCACGTTGCTCAGGGACAGGGAAGTGGAGTATGTTATTGTGCCTCATTGAGTGTTAGATGCTTGAAAGCACATACTCTCTAAAACAGATCAGGATGGTAAATGCCAGCTTCCACCAACAACTGCCCATGTTTGCACTAGTGTTCATGAGGAACAAATGGCAAAACCTTTGCAGGAAGACACAAGTTCTATGTTTTTCTTTTATTGTGTTAGAACAACATAATTAACTGTTAATAAATATTTTCTATCAATGTGAAGATTCACCTATGACATTATTCTTTTTTGACTGCTTAAGCTCTAGTAACTGTTTGATACACACTTTTTGACAAAAACATAATGTCCCAAAGCTTAAAAACATGGCTGAGATGCAACTTGGCAAGAGGTCTCCACCTGATAGTGAAATATCATCTGTTGGAGCTGGATGCATCTTGGTCTACTTCTGTCTTCATAGGAGGATTAGAGGGAGCTGAGCTTTTAGATCCATCTCTTCCTCTCTGCATATAACCTCAGCCTTCACCTTTGGATCACTGGATGCATTGTCGTCCACGTGTCACATAGTCCTCCGTTTGTGCTCTTCCTCCCTCCATAGTACATGTTTTATCAAGAGGCCTCTTCCACTCTCTGCTTTTCCCTTAACTCAGGAAAATGCCACTTTGGGAAATGCAGAGGTCCTCAATTTTAATCAAAATACACCAGCCTTTATAATTCTCCTAGTGTAGAAGCATTCAAAAGTGCAATCCACAAGCCAATGGGGCTCTTGTATTTGCTTTGATGGGTGCAGCATCCCAATGATGGAGATGCATTTTAGAATGAGAAGAAAGTCAGTGTTATGAGGGCAGCAGTGTTATGTAGAAAATGGGGAAAACTCATAACAGCAAAGGTGTTTTCATCTTCTGAATGAGAATCAGGGATTTGGTTTTTTGAAAGTCAGGTAATTTGTGGCTACCACTGAAATTGAGTCATGTTTCTGCTTTCACACTTAGGCATTTCAGGACATTGGGCAGTGATAGAAAGGGTTTATTTTTTTCAATTACATTTGATATTTCCATACAGCCTTTAGTTTATCAACTGCATATAAATTCCTCCTTTCATTGATTAAATATTTCCTCGCCTGGTTTCTTTGCTTCAGGGAGCTTGAGAGCTCATTGTTAATAAAGGGAAAGAAGTATTGTGCTACTAAGCAGGCAACTCTCAACACATATTCAGCTCTGCATCTTCGAGAAGGAGACACTGAGGCTGCTGCGAGTGCAGAAGGACAGAGTTTTCACTGAGATTCAGATGTGACTGAGACCCTCTTCCAGGATTTATACGTTGATGAAGCTCTGGGCTTATTAACTAACTTTTTCTGAAACGAGTAGCCTTAGCCCATATGTGCCAGGTTGTGAAACCTTTAATCCCACTGAGTTTTTCTCTGCCTGTGTTCCTTCTGATCATTTGCAAGAACAAATTTGATGAAGTACAGTTGGTAAGAAATAGTTCTGTTGGTCTGTGATAGTTGAGTAGAAAAGTCATAATTGTGACATCTTCCCTCAAACTGATGTCCAAAAAAAGTATTTTGAGTAGCTCAGCTGTATTAGTTCCATGATGTGTATAAGGGTTTGTTTTTTTCATGTTCTGTGATTTTACATCACTTATGTAAAACTGATTTCATTTCAGAACCAAACAAAACCAACCAACCAACCACCACCACCAACAACAAAAACCCACAGAAAACCACAAACAAACAAACAAAAACAAACAAACAAAAAACCCAAACCAAACAAAAAAAAAAACCAGAATGCTCAGTGTCCCCTGATTTACTTGGGAAATGTTAGCATGTCCAAAACATGTCTGTTTTAAAAGAATTCTTCCAAGATGCTTAGAAGAAGGGCAGAAACCATCTGGATAAAACTTTCTAACAACAAGGCATTTTTTGGGTTTGTGTTTTTTTTCTTTCCAACCTTCATAAGAGAAAAAATACAGTTCAAATTAAGCAATAGTGCCACAGTCTGAGCTACAAAAATTCAATATCTTCCTTTTAAAGCAAGGCATTTCTCTAGGATCACGCCTGGGTTCAGATGATGTCTACACTGTCATCTGAACCTTCAAGGCAATGTCTGGGGCAGGTCTAGCCTTGGGTTGCTGTCAGAAAGAAGACATGATCCATTTTCCTCTCACTTTCAGTAATTATTTGTCACTCAACAGCCATGTGAGAGTTTGATGTGGTAAATGACCGAGAACTGGAGCCAGTGGTATGAGCGAAAAGACCTTAGCCTGTTATCCCGCTAGTCAAAGTAATCAAAATCCAGTCTCAGGAAGGAAGATTAAACTCTTGCCATCCCTAAAATTTGAAGAAAGCAACAAACTAAGGTCAACTCTCCATTTTTTTTTTTTAAGAAATGAGCCTTGGAAGTAGTTATTTCCAGTTAACATGTATAATGTGATAGAAAAAATTAATGTCCTCTCTTTTCTGTAGATGCAGGTCTTGACTTTTTCACTTTTGACTGCATTCTTCCCTGTCCCAAAAGAAAGAGATCAGAATTTTTTTTCTGAATTTCCAACTCTGTAATTATATATTTTTATTCCACTAGACCTGAAATAAAAATAATTTATTAAAAATGAAGGTGGTATTTACTTTTTATATCTCTGTACAATATGCAAGATAACCATTTTGGAAAGTATTAGCATAAATGTCCACAATTTTGAGTACTCAATGTTCTTTTCAGAGATGCCTGTTTATATTAATGTAATTTCAATCTGTTCTTACGTTTTTATAGATCAGGATGTGGTACAATTCTTTGAAGAGAAATGTCTGCTTAGTTTCCAAGTGGAACAGAAAGCAAGATTTGGTACTGAACTTTCACTTTTAATTTTTTCATCTAGGCTTGACTTTAAGAAAAAGAATAGTGCTTAGTGGGTTCGTGTCTATAACAAATCATACTCTTGTCTTATGAAACAGCCCATTTTGTACCTTCAGCTTGCTGCCCCCCAGCAGAACAGAGGAACTGTGTTTCACTGACTGGAAGGACTTAAAATAGTTCACTGTTGTACCTGCATGCCTCATAAACCTTCAAAGAGTAAGCAATAAGATTTTTGACTCTGTTAGTTCCGACAAAATGAGGCAAAGATTTTTCCAGTTATGTGTATAATAAGGCAGAGCTAGAAAACTGATCATAAAAAAGATTTGAGTTTTCATTTTTCTATTTTCCTGTGTTCTTCCTCTCTTTTTCATGAGTCATGTGCAGAACTGTTTTCCCACAGTGTCCCTTCCTTAATTATACGGTGTTGTGAGAGTATGTGCAATACATTGACTAAAAAAGGGATCAGTCAGGGTAAAACTCTAAACTTTATCCCATATTCTTAGAGAGTTCCCCTGCAAACCAGTGACTCAGCTTAGGATTTGCAGAGCAATATGAAGAATTCAGGTTCATTGAGGTTTTGATGCCCAACTGCATTGTTTCTTTCCAAAATCCAATCTTCTTTTTTTCTACTTGTAAAATGGGGACAGTCACACCTGAAAAGAGTTTTACAAATTTGCCTGGCAAATAGTCCTTCAAGTTTGCTTAGTTAAAATGCAAATCCTGGTTGCAGTGTGGAAAGGATCCTAGTTCCCAAAATACTCAACTGAATTAGCCATTTTATCTTAATGGCAATACTGATAACTAAAGTATTTGGCTGCTGAGTTCTGTTGCTGTTCAGATGTGATTTTTGCATTCTGTTATATTAGCAGAACATTTTAATGTGATTTAATGTCTCATTGTATTTGACAAAGCACCATACATTTATACATCATGTAATTATGGCACTGTACTCTCAAGGTATTTACTTTACAGGAAGCTTCATGACTTTGCAATAAACAACCATTCCAAGACTGAGCAAAACATGGTTGAGTTGCTGTTTGTGACCTGGTTTTGATTAATGACATACTGCTTTAATTGTGGAAGCATTGTGTACATGTATGTATTAAGTGCTGCTAGGGGAGGCTGGGATTTCGCTCCTTAAAACAGAGGCTCTAATACTCTTTGTGATGCCCTAAACTAGCTGAAACATCCATACAGGGTTGACAGATATGCTGCAGGAGACCCAGGATCCTCTGACATGACAGCAGGAAGTTGGGTAGGATACCCAAAGTGCCAAAATTGACCTAGGTACCCTTGTTAACCACCTGGAGTTGTTTTCTGGCTTAGAACAACATTAGGAACATGTTTACTCCATAGATATCTGTGACTGAGACCATCTCGGAGGTAGAATATATTATTTCATTCTCATCATCACACCACTGGAATTTAGAAGAATATCACTCCTCTGCACTCTGAATGTCTTTGTTTAGAGCACAGTGGAAGCAGAAAGCAGCACATGCCTGACTCTAACCCATCAAAATCAGTCATGAACAAAGTTCCTTCCCATACCAGAAGTGTGTAGAAATCCTTCCCACCTATGATGAGCCTGATATTTGAGTGCCTGACAGTGAAACGTGATCTGGTCTTTTGCTTTAGTCGGCTTGGTCTGGTGAAGTATTGATCTTGATGGAGAGCTGGTATTTTATTATGATCTTCAAGACACTTTTGATTCTACACCAAATCTGCAACAACTGGTTTAAAACTCATGATCCAGTAATGGATTACTTTGCAGTAATGTGGTTAGGGGTCTGTCTGGCACGCTGGAGACTAAAGCACCCACTCGATGTTGAATTTTCTGGTGGCTGTCCACCTAATCATTTCTGCATTTGGCAGGGTTGTGGGGTTTTATAGGAAAACTACATGTGAAGCATGGATTATTACGAGTATGCGATCTTGTCTGAGATTTTTCAGAATTGTTGTCAAAAGTTCTGGGTAATTTAGTTTTGATAACTAAGAATACAAAATTAAACTTCATTTGGTTGTATTTTTTGCTTTCTCATTCCAGAGTGGTGTTGATATAATGACGGCAAAAAGTACCATCTCCAGAATGAGGAGTTTTAACTGCAACAAGATAAAAAAAACCCAAATCCCTGTATATTCCTTTTCATACATTAAACCTTCTCATAGGTTAAAAACTCAGAGAGAAAGCTAACATCTCCACTTCAGAGAAGGTCTTGCTCTGTGTAACTGCAAAAGGTGTTTATTTATACTTAATGCAGGGTCAGTGGCAGGCTGGGTAGAGCTATCTGAGGAAAAAATTATAACTTCAAAAATTACGATGGAGTTTTTCATTAAGAGGAATATCCTTTCCCACTCACCTTCCCCTGGCCAAGTAATGGGGTTTGGCAAAATGTGTTTTGGCTCTTGAGCTTTGATTTTCTGTCTGATATTTTGGAGAATTTTTATGGGAAACAATGTATTTCGCAAATGCATTTTAGCAAGAAGATTAGGGAAAGGAGAACATAAAAAGTTGGAGGGATGTATTTTTTTACAAAACCTGGCTGAAAATGCTGAAGCAAATAAGAAACTCTTTAGAGTGGGCAGCAAACAAAGTATTGCAGTCTGCTGTTTTTTTAAGAGAAAAACTGCTTCCTCCTCCCCACTCCACCGCTATATGGACATAATTAATCATAATAAATTCCTGATAACGAGGTGAGCAGAAGGATGGGCAATGGTAGGCAAAGGCTGCTCAAAAGCTCATGAGCTAATACATGAGCTTTTCTAGAGAGAAAACTAGCAGCTGTGGTCTGAGCAGCAGCTGTCTGCCTAACCTATGCACCAATCTCGCATGAATTTCAGTTATGTAATGAACCAAATCTCCTAAAGTAAATGAACACCTTTCTCACATCATCAGTGGGGCACGTGAAAACTTTTGAAGACCTCTAACGGGATCTGATTCACCTGACCTGGATTTTTGCATTTCAGCATATAAACTGTTTTAAAAGCTCCTTTTTCACTCCATTGGTGTTACAGGGAATGTACGTATTTATTTGGAGAACACAGCATGTTATGGGCTGTAAATGCGGGTGCTAATTAGATGTGACCTGGCCTCCCCTGCCTCCTACAATATCTCAGCTGAAGAACCATTCGAAAAAACAGTTACAAAATTGAGACCATCTGAGAAGCACACACAGGTTATCCTTTACCTGTTCCTGATTCTGAATACTGGAGTAAAAGGATAGGTACCACATTGCAGGTACCACATTGCTGGTCCCACTAGCCTCCTGAAAGCTGTGCAATCCAGTCAGAGCCTTGTTCACTGCAGGCAATCTGATTCTTTGCCTTAAATATGCCCTGAAAAGTATTACAGGCATGTGGATATTGTAGGAGGGCTGAAGAGTGGCATATTGGAATAATTTGTAATCAATGCAACTTGGATTGTTTCTCCTGAAAACTCATCATCATTTTTGTAAGCAAAATGACTTAAAATCATCTGCATTTGTCATCCATTTCCCTTATTGTAACTCCTCTC